TTGGAGCAGTACAAGCTCGCAATAATGCTCGTATTGTGTTCACTGGATCTTTGGATATGTTCTCAGATGCCTTCGTAAGCGCACATGTGCACCAGTTTGCCAAAGGAGAATCGTAGGTTTCACATTTTTGAAGTTTAGATGTCTGCTAGTCTTAGTTTTGCTGAAGTGAAACTGTTATTGCTATGAATGCCAGAGGTTAGGGACAATTTTGGCGGGTTAAACCTAATAACCCCTTTCTCATAACTTCTTGGATGTCACTATGGGTTCTTCAATGCGCTGTCACGCATGTTTAGCTCAATTCTTCATGCGTGGTGGCTGTCATTATATGTTCGAGCCAATTTATAAGTGTATGGTGATATATTAGATTCATTTTCCCTATCGTGTTAGTCTGTGTTGGTGCCATTTTTAGCGGTCATTGTAACAAAGTAGATGTTACTGGATTGTATTTGCGATGTATCAACTCGAAAAGAATTGTAGGAATTTCTAGAGGCTACAGTTTGCTTGAAGAAAACATTAACTTTGAGTTTAATTTAAGCGCTTTAAATCGGAAATTGTGTCTTTGAGCTAAAATAACGCCCTTCCCTCACTGGTGTTGAGCGCTGAAAATTTTTCAGAGGGTGAATGAAAGGAAAGAGGAGACGCAAACCGGAATTCTTAGCAGTGGGCGAGAGCAGCTTATATTCAGTTATAGCCGATTTGCGTTATTTGATCGCAACTCGATAAATACAGCTCTCAGCTTAATTGTATTTCCTCGTCTGGGAATGAGTTGCCTTTCAAGTTTTGGCCACTCGAAAGAGCACACAGTATCACTAACTTATCACGCAAATGCTTTTTTTCTGAAACAAACATCTTTCTAGAATTTAACTTCCAGATCTACTCGATCAGGAAATCTGCAACTGATTACTGCCCTCTCAAAGTGGGTATTGAATGAAAATGGTGTTCTACGCGTGAAGAAGGTCGAGCATCATCTGGTTGGAAGTAGCAAGATCCTTCCAAGGGAGTACACCATACTGGATGAAGTTGTAAGTTATTGCAATGTTGAAAAATGTCTAAATTTGAAAGTCTATGATTTGTACAATTTTGTCTCTTTATTATAGGAATATGCGATTGAGATAGAAGAGTATCATGATGGCAAATGGCGTCCATTCAATGCGAAAG